TGGTCTCCTGCATGCAAAATGAGGGGTTTCTGGATACCTGAGGTGCTGTAGCCTGGCTTTTGCAAGCTGGAAGGGAAAGAAAGTTGCTGGGGCTGTAGGCAGCTGGTGCTAGGTGGAGTGGACTGCAGTGTGTCCCTACTAGCATCAGGGAGCTGGGATATATCAGGGGCAATCAGGAGGAGACGGCAAAGTACAGGACTTTATCCTGGGTCTGCAAGATCTCGAAAGCAGATTTATAACATAAGTCATGGGACTGTGATGCATTGTGCTAAGGGCAAGTGACCTGCGGCCTTCATAAAATCATGGAATTATTTGGGTTGGAAAGGACCTTAAAGACCATCCAGTCCTGATGGCCTGCCATGGGCAGGGACATCTTCCACTAGTACAGGCTGCTCCAAGCCCCATCTAGGCTGGCCTTGGACAGTCCCAGGGGTGGGACAGCCACAGCTTCTCTAGACAACTTGCCTAGAGAGGGGCTTCACTATCCTTGTAGTAAAGAACTTCCTAATATGTAACCTGGAAGAGCTACTTGTGGGTTTGATCCAGGCATTTGGTGCAGAAACTAGCGATGCCAGTGGGATGGACAAGTCCTCTGCATAATTACAGAAGATGTCAGGGACAGAGAAGATGTTGGATGCTCTCTGTGAATTTGTTCTCATGTAGCTTAGTTTAACTCAGCAGTGAAGAAACTGGAAAACAAAGGACTTGACAGGCCAATTTCTATCTGTCTGTAGGTTCTTGGACCTGATTCTGTCAACCTGTAGTGGAGACAGGCTAACGAGAAGGTGATCTGAACTGTCTAGGATGAACTATCCCAACTTGGTGGCTACAGTGGCTTAGGGCAGCATACATGCAGGTCAGAGCACCCCAGGGGTGAGGTTCTCAAGACTCACATATTATAAACAGGTTCTCTGATATGCAGACTTACTGAGGAACATCAGACACTGAGAAGAGATTTTCCAGTTAATATCTTGAGCCTTCTCAACAAGGTTTTGCATGGCCCCATCCCTTGAAGTGTTCAAGGGTAAGCTGGATGTGGCCCTGAGTAACTTGATCTAGTGAGTGGTATCCCTGCCCATGGGAGGGGTTAAAGCACATATTCTTTCACTCCCATCCAACACAAACCATCCTGTGATTCTGTGATTCTAAGTGGTTGTCACTCCTGCACCTGGTCATCTCCACTGATGCTGGTTCAGTGGTTTCTCCACCCATCTGATGTCAGTTTCCTTCTGGAAACAAGAGGTGGCCAATGATCCATGAAACCCCATGGCTTCACCCCATGTGAAGTGTCCAACATCTCCTAAGGGGAGTTTGAGCTCATGTAACAAATCTCAGTCCTGGATGACAGAGGCTAGAACAAGTTAATGATCTCAGTATCTACAAAGAGAGTTCATTTCCTTGAGAGTGTCTTGCTCCTGAGTCACCCTCATCCACCCTCCTGCCTTGCCTGTTTATCAGCTATCAGCACTTCCTAAGTAGACAGGTGACTTTTATAGGTTCACCTCCCACAAGGCAAATCCTCTAAAAACAGACAGCAGAGCATTTAATCACCATCTTCACAGCGATTCCCATCCAAACACAAGACCAGTTACCTCCTCTAAGCCTTTTTTATCCTTTTCCTCTAATATGAGCTACCAGGCTGAGGAAAGTAACACCAGCAGTCCCAATTCTTGAATGAGGTGTTCCTCAGAAGTTTCTGCAACTCTTCTAGCCATCAGCCAGGAGTTTGCCATGCTCTGTGAGACTGGTCAGAAGAAGGTGGAGATATTTTCACACCATGAAAAAGAATATAGAAATGAGAATTTCTTGCCCTAAACCAGAACAAAATATAGAAATGAGAGTTTCTTGCCCTAAACCAGGACAAAATTATATATCAACATCCCTCACAAAACAGCTTTAGAAGAAATCGAGGTGAGCAGCATACCTGCCCAGGACAGGTGTTTGGAACTAGGTGATCTTAAAGGCCCATTCCATGATTGTATGAAATAACCCTTCTCCAGGGCAGGTGACTCCCTAAAATGGTGTCAGAAAGCACAGATTGCAGCATGGTACCTGTAGGCAAATTAGGGAGTTTGGGGTGTTAAAGCAGTGGAAAATTATGCAGAAAATAGATTTGCCTGTGGATATTTGCTGTAAAATACTTCCTCTTCACCCTTATTCTGACAATTTTATAAGACAATGTAAAAATGTTCATATTCAACAATACTGTTCTGTTTATTTAAGTAACAACAATTGAGCTTGCAGGCAATTCCTGGAGAAAGCCTTCTGGTGAGGAGCTTTCATGTTTTAAATGCTCATTAATCTTCCTGTGAATATCCTGGTTTGACACCATGGATATTGAGGCTTCTACACGATCACTGTTGAGACTATAATGTGATGACTTAATGGCAAGTTGTTATTTCTTAGCACTTAACTATGGCAAGGTGGTTGTTTTGTGTTGTTAAAATTATTCCAGCATGAAAATTCCCATTCTTTACCCCCTGGTTCCCACTCATAATCCCTCTCATCACAAGGTGAGTTATTTTCCCCTCATGTTCCTCACTCTTTACCTTGAGTTCTGTGTGCAGATGAACAACCTCTTTCTTGCTATTTTGACCCAAAGGTAATCCATTCATTGCTAAGCAAAGAGAGGGTGAAAGAGTAATAAAAGTAAAATGGGGCTCATTGTGAAAAAGAGACACTTTATGTGGTCATGATGTCTCTGTGTGAGCTGAAGGGTTGAAAGGTGGTCTGAGGAGTTGGGTTATCTATGGCACTCTCTGAGAGCATGTTTGTACTCCCCCATTGCTGCTGGGTTCATCTTCCCAGCTCATCTCTCAAACACATTGCTCAAACACATTGCACTCCATCTTTCCCCTGCCTCACAGTCTGAGCCTCCACCAAACAAAGCACCTTCTTTGCAACTGTCACTCTGTTCTCCATAGAGCAGCCTTTTGCAGCCCCCAAAATCTGACTATTTTGCACGCTTTTTCTTTCAGTTGCTTCTCAATCTTGCCGGTGCACTGCCCCCCACAGTGCCTAGAAGGTCACCTCTTGCTGAAGTCTGCAAAAATCACAGCTCTTCAGTTCCATGCTCACCATTCCTCTCATCTTCTTTGCTTGGCTCCTCCATTGGCCAAGTCCTTCCTGCCACTCACTTGGGAGGTTCTGAGGCAGAAAACATCTTTTGTTTTGCTTGACGTCCTGCACATCAAACCTCTGATCTCAGCTGAGGCCCTGAAAGCACATCTGTTATGTGTATGGGGATGTCTAACATGCCTGTTACAGTCTGGGGCCCCTCTATTCTGGAGACAGACTGGGAGAGCTGGGGGTGTCCAGCCTGGGAAAGAGACGGCTCTGGGGAGACCTTTCAGCACATTTCAGCATCTAAAGGGGCTCCAGGAGAACTGGAGAGGGGCCTTGGACAAGGGGGAATGGCTTCACACTGACAGAAGGCAGGATTATATAGGTTATTGGGAAGGAATTGGGAAGAAATTAATCCCTGTGAGGATGGTGAGGCCCTGGCACAGGCTGCACAGAGATAGCATCTCTGGATCCCTGGCAGTGTCCAAGGCCGGGCTGTACAGGGCTTGGATCAGCCTGTTCTAGTGGAAGGTGTCCCTGCCACGGCAAGGGATTGGAACGAGATGATTCTATGAACTGCATAAATCTACAGATTTTTGAGGTGCTGTACATAGGTGTCTGCAGCCCTATGGTGTGTACTCTCTCCTCAGCCTTTAAAGGCTTTCCAAACACAACAGATAATTGGATCTCATTCACATTCAGCTGCAGGCCAAAGTATGGCACAGTTTTGATTTCCTGTTTCAAAGACAAAATTTGCTTTGAATGTTTTTGTACACCTTTCTTTCAGGCTGCCTTAGAAGTACTGACAGGTTGCAATAAGGTCTCCTTGGAGCCTTCTCCAGGCTGAACAATTGCAAGTTCCTCATCCTTTCCACATAGGAGAGGTGCCCCAGACTAGTGATCAATTCTCTACTAACTACAGAAAAAGCCCCTGAAGAAGACATAATCACAGGATGGGTTGGAGTGAAAGGGCACTAAAAGCTAAATCTCATTCCAACCCCCTGCCATGGGCAGGGACACCTTCCACTAGATCAGGTTGCTTCAACCTGGCCTTGAACACTCTCACGGATGGGGCAGCTAGAGCTTCTCTGGGCAGCCTGTACTAGTGCCTTACCTCCCTCACAGGGAAGAATTTCTTCCTGAAATCTCACCTAAACATCTTCCAGTTGCGGCCAGTTTCACAGGCCTGCTGAGGTGAGTCCCACCCTTGGGGACAGAGGCAATGCTACCCACAAAATATCAAGTAACCCGTAGCCCATGCAACACTTCTGGCCTGAAGCAAGGATGGTTTTGAGGCTCCAGAAAAGCCCTCACCTCTTACTCATTGCTGGAGCACAGTTCAGCCAAGGAATGCATTTTCCTGCCTCTCCTGAACTGACTGTTCAGGACTCAACCACGACCACTTCCTAATGCCAATCTCTGCACATCGTTAGCAAACCTGTTTGCCATATCAGCAATTGAGGCTGCTCCTTCAAGGTGGCTATTATTGCATGTGCTTATTAGTATATTTATCTGCCAATACCAAACACAAGCTGACTCACAGATTCCCAGATAATGCTTCTATCCAATGTTACTTCTAAAACACACAATCCTGTTATAAAGACACCCCTGGGGCGTGCCTCATTGCGGAAGAACCCGCTGTTTTCATCTGCATTCTCAAATACAGCAGCAGCCAGTTTTGTGTGCTCAGGGTAGATCCTGTCAGCAGAGTCTGCACAAGACAGTTCTGCTCTTTCTAAACCAGCATTTCTTGTTTTGGCAGGTGTCTCGTCATCTCCCAATAATTGTGAACCTGCACTTGCAGTTGTGCTGAACTGGGGGTGTTTTTTTTTCACATTCATTTGCCTCCCACCTTTCCTCCTTGTCTGTCTGTGCTCAGACTAGACACTCACATGATTATATTGAGGAGAGCTCAAAGCACTGCAAGAAATGTGAAAAATCTTTTCTGTATTTATTTCATAGATCACAACACTTTACATTTAAGTCACATTTATTTAAACTGGAAAAAAAAAATTAAATCCAGCTCTCCAGACCTTTCTGGATTATAATGAAAGACTGTTTCCTCCCAAGGGATTCCACAGAAATCTTCTTCTTGAGCCAGATGTTCTGCTTCCTTGAACAGCTGCACAGGGCTCAAATTGCAGTAGCCATCACCCCAAATTGTGCTACAGAGCTGAGTTTTTACAGCACAATCTGGGAGCCCAGAGATGTGAGACCCTCTGGGACTGTGAATGGGGTAGGAGTACAGTCTGCACCTAAGGCAACAGGATGGAACCAAAATACAGGAAGTCAGCCTCCATGAGCTTATGGTCCTTTCTTGCCTCTGACTCCATGAACTGTTGTAAATCCTACACGAAACAGTTGTATGGTAACATCTGTTTCCTACTCTGTTCACTTCTCTCTCCCTTTCCTCTTGACCCCTCTGCCCTGGCTCCTGGATTTTGCAATGACTCACCCAGTGGGGCAAAGGCTGCTGCAGGTCTGCTCCAAGCAGTTTATTCATCCCCTCTGTGCCACCCAAAACACATGACCTGGTGGTACTCCTCCTGATGGAGTTGCTCTGCCTGTCCCAAGGGAGGAACAAACATGCTTCCAAGGTTCTTTACTCCTAAAATTGGTTTAATCCCCTGTTAAGCCCTGTTAATATGTAGGCATCTGCAGCCATACTGCAGTTAACTTGCATGAAACTATTAATCTTGATTTAGTGCTCAGAGGTGCTGATTAGTCATGTATCTTCAAGCCCCAAATATTTCTCCAAGATGGTTTGAGCTGCTTGGTGGAAGGAGAGATTTCTTCCAACTTCAATTTTTCTGCAATTCCACAGTCCTGCTTACTTCATCCATAATTCACCCCTGTATTTTGTGTGCTCTCTGTATGTCCATCCCCCCCTTATAGGCATTTCCTACTCTTCAGTGCTATTCATGCAACCTCTAGCAAAATACCTGCTTCAATGCTGTTATTATCCTGGGCTCTATTACCCCAATTATACTTTGCTCAACTATTTTGGAGAGGTGTTTGCAGAACTGGTTTCAATATAAAATCAGTAAATCTTTACTGGTTTGGCCTGTCATGATAGGAGGAAGCAAAATGTGTTGATATAATCTAAAACCCAAGTTCCTTGTGTGCTGTTTCAACAGGCCACAGACCAGCACATGGGGAAGTTCCCCTCTTCTTCAGCCACAGGCACCAGTTTAACTACACATCCATCTCCTCCCACGGAAGTCAGCCAGACCAGTCATTCTCTTAACAATGAGTCCATGTATAAAAGCTTGGATAAAGTGTAGTTTCATAAACTTTCTATAAATGTGAGCCTCTGTATCCCAGAGATTCCATGGCTAAAGAAACCAATTTGGCCCGAGGTGGCTGAACAGCAGGGTTTGCATATGTTCTGCCAATACAGTCCCCAGCCAGTTATTAAGTTGGTTTAAACCAGCATAACTTCACCCAGGGAAGCAAGCAGTCCACCCAGGTCACTTACTGATGAATGCTGCTACTCCAGTACTAATTTTACTTACAGATTCATAGAATCACAGAATGGTTTGGATTGGAAGGGCCCTTAAAGACCATCTCATTCCACCTCCTCCCATGGCCAGGGATACCTTCCACTAGACTAGGTTGCTCCAAGCCCCATCCAGCCTGGCCTTGGACACTTCCAGGGATGAGGCAGCAAAAGCTTCTGTGCCCAATTTCTTCCAAATATCCCATCTAACCTGCTCTATAACAGTGGGAATCTGTTCCCCCTTTTCTGTCACTCCAGGTCATTTTTCAAAGTCCCACTGCAGATTTCTTGGAGCCCCTTTATTCACAGAATATTTGGAATTGGTCAGGTTGGAAGCAACTACAGTGGGCCACCTGGTCCAACTTCTCTGCCCAAAAAGGGTCATCCTAGAGTACATGGCACAGGATTGCATCCAGATTGTTCTTCAGGATCTCCAGGCACTGGGGTTGCCTCAAAGGTCTCCCTGGATATTTCTCATCCCCAGGCTGAACACACAGCCTGTCTCCAGAGCAGAGGTGAAGTACCATACCATGAAAAAAGAGGAGCTCTCCTATAGCTGATGGTATTTGACTGGTATGAAGCTGGAGCTCCCTTCAGGTGAGAAGCAGAGATTTTTGACAGAGAGTCACCAAAACAGCCCTGGAGCCCAAGGCTGGTGTCTCTTGCCACTGCTGTTTCCTTGGCTATAGCCAGGGAGGGTGGTTAAGGCTTCAAGCAGCTGAGAAAATGGAGCTCAGTATCTTCTCCCAGAGAGTGAACACCATTCCAACATCTGTCCCAAGAGCTGGAAGGAAGCAACTTGATATATGAGCCAGAGGGGAGAGAGAGAACTCGTGGTGGAATTGCACCCAGCAGAGGCTGGGTATTGTACAGGGCCTGTCTGTGTTGCAGCTGGAAACACACCTGCATCCCTGGTGCAGTGCCTGACCTCCCTATAGTCCCTCTGATGGGGCCATGCCTGCTCCCAGGAAGTAAAAATGCCAAGGGAATGGCAGTACCAGGGGCTGACTGGGGAAGGTGTTTCCACCACAGATATGTGAGTCAGCCAGTGCTAGGCTGCAAGTCAAGGGCAGCAATCATGTTTCCATGTAGGTGTGCTGGAGAGGGCTGGGCAGCACTGCTCAACTCCCAACAGAAAAGGCTGAGGCAAGGAAGTGTTGTGCTTCTGGAGCTTCTGCAAATGAGTTGAGGCAGAAGAGAGGACCAAGAAGCACTAATCCAATAGCATATCCTCCCCTTCCTCCTCTTCCTTGTCAGTAAATCTCTCTAGGGGGGGTGAGACCTCCTCAGACATATGTGGCACAATCTGCCTGCCTGTCTGCACCCTAGGGATGGTGTTAGCAGGGTGAGTCTTGCACTCACTGTGGGGCTGCCATGGCTCTTGCTCTAGCAAACCACCACGGGCACCAGCCACCCCCGCCAGCCCCGACATCAGAGCAGGGGTTGCTGAGATCAGACACAGCAGAGATGCTTCTCCATGAGAAACGCAGAATGTCTAGCAGCTCTGAACAATGTGCAGCCTGTCTTCACTGTTTTGTCTGGGGTTTGCTTTTGAATATAAAAAACTGTCATGCCTCCCTTTCTTCCTCCCAAGAACACCCTGAATAATGCTGGCACCTCCTTTCTTTTCAGCCCCTTCCCTGAGCTGAATGTGTGGAGGGTCACATTGTGACTGTGAATGCTTTTTGATATCCTCTTGCTGGGCGCTGTGCTGGAAGGAAGGAGGGAGACAGAGCTGTTTGTATAGCATTCAGGCTCTCCCTGACGGCATCTAACTTGCTATTGTTGGTCAATGATCTTTCAATTACTTGCTACACTTGGGACTTTGCTCCATGCTTGAAAAAAAGCCTGATGTAGTTAATGCTCCTTCCAGGGAGCAGTCTGGACCTGGATGATTCCTCTGAGAAGAATTGCTTGCAAACATAGCCTTTCTTTTTATAGATATTGTGGTTTGAGCATGTAGTTAGCTTTTTCCTTGCAGCAAATTTACTATTCAGTATTAGTTTTCAAAAAAATATCTGTCAGAGATGGCTCGCTGAAATGATTTTTCCGTTCCCAAGACACACAAGTATTTTGACTTTGTTTTTCTTTTTCACTCTTTGTTCTTTATACAATACTTTTATTTTCATTGTTAAGGTGCAGGTTATCTCAAAATATGCCAGGGGTATGGAGGAGTGGCTTTAGAGAGATTATGGCTCTGGGCTGGGAGCCACACTTCCCAGGTCTGGCCCTTTAGTACCTGGTCTATATAAATCAACATTTTCCCAAACAGATATCTTGGTTTCATAGTTACCCAACTTGAGGCCATCAAATGCTGCACTTCAGAGCCTACACATCTTCTCCCTAAATTCAGATGGAGATAAATGAATTCCATGAATCTCTGTCAAGACATGACCATAAAATAGAAAATCTACAAAAAAGAAACAAAGCAGATACACTGCAAGTAACTTGGAGGCTGAGATGCTTTTTGCTGAACCTGGACGGATCCAGCAGTCTTCCTGATTCTATATATGATCTTTAATGTCCCTTCCAAGTTAAAACATTCTATGATCCTATGAAATACTGTTTATTTTGAATTACATGGAAAACCAAACCCCAAATTATTGTAATCATTAGAGTTCTTCCAGAGCCCTGCACATAAACCCAAGTCCACATGATGTTTTCACACTCTCACTAACCACTGTGTCCTCAACAGCTTTGGAAGAGTGCACTGCTCTTCATTTTCTCTCCCAATTTCTGTGCTTCAATAAAGTTTTATTAATAGTTTCCCCCTATCATAAAAATCTAAAGCAACTGTGCAGATGTAGTTATTATTCTGTTACTCATCATTAATATGCCTGCAAATCTCTAGACCTTTGTTCCTGGAAGCACTTGAGTTACTATATTTCTGCCCTTATTAAGCACTTTTTCAAAGGACCTTTGGCCATCCACATCTAAATAAAGGAAAAAGAGAGATCAAACTAGACCTCTAGCAAACTCTGAATTTATACCTAAATGTGCTTAATAATTGGATTTGTATAGTCAAACATGCTCATAGCAGGATTTCCAGTTGGTGGGTAGAAAATCGAGGGTTTCTGTGCTCACTCCTGCCATTCTGACATTTGTATCAGCTCAGAAACTTGGGCGGAAAAGCTCTTTGGTATGAGGGGGACTTATGCCAGTGTGAGGTCTGGGACAGGATCAAGGGAAGCAAAACAAAATAAATGTGAGTTGTTAGCAGGAAATCTGGAGAGTAAAAAAAAATATTAAACAAAACCAGTGAGTGTTTTGAAGGAAGAATTGGGGCTGTTCAGCCTGGAGAAGAGAAGGCTTCAGGGAGACCTTTGAGCACCTTCCAGGGTCCAAAGGAGTCACCAGAGAGCTGGAGAGAAATCTTAAAGAAGGGCCTGGAATGACAGCCACTGGAATGACTTCCACTGCCAGAGGGCAGGTTAGAGTAGACATTAGCAAAAATTCTTCCCTGGGAGGGTGGTGAGGCCCTGGTACAGGTTGCCCAGATAAGCTGTTTGCCCCATCCCTGGGAGTGTTCAAGACCAGGTTGGATAGGGCTTGGAGCAGCCTGGGACAGTGGCCCCACCCATGGTAAGGGGTGGAACAAGATGGTCTTTAAGGTTCCTCTCAACATAAACTGTTCTGGGATTTATGATAAGACCATGAGGCAGTTTTATGTGTAGAGTTGCCTCACACATGTCCACAGGCAGCAAACAATCATCTTAAGTGAATACATTTTGGTCTGGCCATAATCTTATTTGGATTCAGACTTCACTGGTGCTGCGGAAGTGAAACCCTCAGAGTTGGGGAAAATGGAAGAACCTTCAACAGAAGAGACAGGGTGCAAGGTGCTGAGGATTTGGGTATGTGGGCAGAGGTTGTAATGGGTGGAAGTAGCAGGTTGGGTGAGGAGTAGAAAAAATAGCAATGCTGGGTTACAAGATAATTGGAATTCAAGATAATTGGATAAAAGGGCCTTGATTCCAGGCCCTTCGCTAGGGAGTTATTTCTGAAGGTCAGGACTCTGGTGAGTTCATCTCAGCAGCAGATAAAAAGCTTGTACAATGCAGTATTATGCTTATGGTTTCATGTGATTTTTGACCTCTGATATCACCATTACTTGATCCATGTTGATAAACATACCATTGAACCAGCCTCCTAGGGCAGATTCACTGTTTACATGTCTGTGATACCCAGCTCAGCCATGACTCAGCCATCAGCAATGATGCTCTGACATTATTAATATCAATGTAAATCTTCTTAATGCAGACATAATTTCACCCCAGAGGCCAATTCATTCATTAGCATATCCGGATATCCTGTCATTGGGCATATGAAGTGGGTAGTACTTGGCTTATATACAGAGCAAATATGTGCTGAGTAAATATGGATTCAACTGCACACATAACGACAACAGATGGAGCCATAAATGTTTGGCAGCAAGAGTGAATAGAGGTGAGTTTAACTCCTCATTCCAGACCTAATTCAGTGCTGGTGGTACTTGCATGTTGTACTTGCTTGATTATAGTTGTCCAACATCAATGTCCATGGAAGCGGTTGCTTATTTCACATACTGCACAAAGTTGTGTGAGTCATAGAATATTGCGGACAGAGTAGCTTGAGTGGGAAAGGATCCACAAGGATCATCAAGTCCAGCTCCTGGCTCTGCACAGGACATTCCACCAACCCCACTCCGTGCCTGAGAGCATCGTCCAAATGCTTTTGGAGCTCTGGCAGCCCTGGGGCCTCCACAAACCCTGGAGAGCCTGTTCAGCATCTGACCACCCTCTGGGGGAAGAATCTTTTCCTAATATTCACCTAAATCTTCTGTGACACAGCTTCAGCCATTCCCTTTGGTCCTGTCCCTGGTCACCAGAGAGCAGAGATCAGTCACTAAAGTGTTGCTCTGACGATATGTTTTCAGCTGTGATACACAGGGCCCTTCCATCTGTCAAGGCAAAGCCCTCCCTATGTGTAGTTTGCAAAAACACCATAGGCCTGCTGTGCCTGTTACCAGGAAAGGGTGTATTAACCATTCTAGTATATCTATTATGAAATATTTTTGTCTTTTGAAATAAAAACAGCCAAGTCAGAACTTTGGGCTAACCTAACTCCTCTCCTTCCAAATGATATTTCATGTCAGCAAGTTGCTTGTCAATATTTAAAAACAAAAACAAAACAAAACAAAAACCATACCAAAACACCACAACCAAACCAAAAACCTAAACAAAACCAAAACCAAACCAAAACAAAAACCAAGCCAACAACAACAACCCAAAAGTATTTTTTGACATTTTTTGCATGTTAAAATGAGACAGATTGAAGTTAATATAACAGTAATTATCTCCTGCAGCTAATATTTGATACAGACAGTGCCAGGGAGGACAGCATGATCACTAACAAGGCTAGGAAAGGATTTCTTCTCTTGTGCAACACTCACAGATGTTACTCTTCTCCCAAGTATTTGAGATTTGCCACAGGCATCTCTGTTAGGTGCTTTATTGTCAGAATTTGTTGCTTTATTGTCAGAACTCTCTCTTCCTGTTCTCATTCACTGGGTGACCCTTCTTAACTCTTTTTTTAAGTGATTTGAAGTTTGCTTGATAAAAAACAACCATCAACCACTGCACAGATCTAACAATTCTGTCTGGTAGAAAACATTTTTGATTCTCCAACTGCAAAAACCTTTTGAATTGCTAATTTCCCAGGAAAGTTGGGGCTGCCCTATCCCTGGAAGCATTCAAGACTAGGTTGGACAGGACTTGGAGGAATCTGCTGTATGGAGTGGTGTCCCTGCCCATGGCAGGGGGTTAGAATGAGATGAGCTTTGAGGTCTCTTCCAACCCAAACCATTTTGTGATTCTGTGATTCTATGGAATCTGCTGTGGGGAACAGGGTGGGGAGAGATCCAAGGATGGATGGCATCTTGTGCTTTACCCGCCTAGCTGGTTAAAAACCCAAAAAACTGTTGAGCATAGAAGCAGTTCACTAAATCTGATACCAGTGAAGAGAAATTCAACTGATATCTAGGATGGGAACAATTTCTCCAAGTTTATTTCCACCCTTACCCAATGTTTTTACTTTCTGTCCTTTGTGCAACAGAGAGCTATGTTTGGCAAGAAATGGGGGAGCAGATGTTGTGAAAATACAAGTACTGTTATCACTGATAACTGCAAGTGAACAAAAACAGATGTAAGAAGACACAAAGTAGAGAATGGGGGTAAGATTTGACAGCAGATTCCAACCCCAGCCCTGAGCTGGATATATCTGGCTAATCCATACATTGTTTTAGAGCCATGCCAGCAACACTTCCAGTGTTTGGAATCTTTTGGCATCACTTAGTGGGAGCAACTTGTGCTGGCAGCACCTGTGTGACTGTGCTGGGTTTGGGTGAGCAGGCTTTGATCCAGGGGTGGCTCCTGTGAGGAGGCGCTGGAGCTTCCCTCCATGTCTGATGGAGCCATGGATGGAGGGTGTGGGGGTGCAGAGATCCACGTACAGCTCATGAACACCCCATGGCAGAGCATGGGGATGCCTGAAGGAGACTGTGTTCCCATGGGAAGCCCAGGCTGGAGGAGAGGCAGAGTGTGAGAAGTCCAACCCCTGAGGAGGAAGGAGCGCAGTGACAGTGTGAAGGACTGAGCACAGCCCCATTCCCTGCCCCCGTGCACCACTTGGAAGGAGGAGGGAGAGAAGCATGAGGGAAATTGAGCCTGGGAAAGAAGGAGGGGTGGGGGGAAAAGTGATTTAGGATTGGAGTTTATTTCTTGTTGCCCTGCTCTGATTGGATTGGTAATAAATTAAACTGATTTCCTCCATCTCTTTTCACCATGACAGTAACTGGTGACTAATCTCTCCTTGCCCTTATCCCAACTATGGGCCTTGCATTGTATTTTCTTTTCCTGCCCAGCTGAGGAGGGGAGTGAGAGCAGTTTTAGAAGGCATCTGGTGTCCAGCCAGGGTCACCCATCGCAGTGACAATCCAAAGAGTAGTGTCATGCACTGCCTGTATCCTGAGCTGACTGAATCTCAGAGCCAGACTGGCTTTTCTGGCAGCACCTTGGGAAATGACTGGGTATCTGAATTCCCAGATTCAGGGCATGCTGGCAGTTGTCTGTGTCCCGGGAATATAGATGTATGTAGAAATAGCCTCTCTGTGCCTCCATTTCTCTAGAGCCTACAAGGAATTTGCAACCTATTTCTCATCACTCACATGTTTTTGGTTTTGGTTGCCTTTGAATACCAGGTGAGCCCAACCCAACAGTTTTAAATTAAACCCAAGATTTCATCCTCCTTCTTGAGGCCTCAAGCAGAAAAGGAAAAATCTTCTCTGAGCAGTGGTTTTGCTAGAGATAATTGACTGACAAGAAAAACCCAACCACTCTTCAGAATGTTTTCTTTCCTATCTGCTCAACACCCTTTTGTTGGAATCGGAGGTATTGATGATTCCGAGATTGTAGAATGTCTCTGTCTTTCTGCGCCGTTGCAAAAGAAGAAGTCATAATTCATCTGTGCTCTTTCCAAGGTTGTTTATTCTTGCTTATGTATAACATGTTCTGCTGCCCTGCCGCAGCTCTGTCCTGCAGGGCAGCGTGTAGGGCTCTGCCCTCAGTGTAATGTTACAAACATTAAATACCAGAAACTCCCTGGGCT